GGAAGCGTGAGGCGGGCCCACAGGCCAGGACGTAACTCGCTCTAATGCCATGTTGAGTTACTAAGTAAGAGTAAGCTTAGGTTTTAGGTAGGGCCTAGGCTTAGTAGCCTAGGCCTAGGGGAAGTCGAGGAGGTTGTGCCAAGGTGAGAGTCGAGAATGGGAAAAGTGATGTTCACTATAGCACTAGGGTACATATAGTAAACAGAGCATGCAAAGAAGGTGCACCACCAACAGTTTATAATAACTACACTAAACTACAGCTACAGGCAGTTACATATAAATTCTAACACATCGCTGATATCCCACGGATCGATGCCCCTTGGGGTCTTGGCGGGTGCCGCCTCCTCACGTCCACTGCTGTCCGCCGCCGGAGCCTCCTCCTCCTCCTCCTCCTCCTCCTCCTCCTCCTCCTCCTCCTCCTCCTCCTCCTCCTCCTCCCACTCTGCAGCTCTTCCCTTCCCGTTGCCCTTGCATGAAACTTTGCCCTTTCCCTTCCCCTTCCCCTTCCCCATCCCCTTCCCCTTACCCTTCCCCTTCCTCTTCCTCTTGGAGGACTCTCCCGCCTTCTTCTTCCTGCCTTTCTTCCCAATGCTCCCGAACTCCGCCCAGTTAATGGTGGTACATTCTTCCTCCTCTCCCTCCGCTACTTCAGCCCCCTCTTCCTCTTTGGGTGCGACCGGGGGAACGGGGCAGCCCTCCTTGAGGGTGCCGTTGCTCAGGTCCCGATAGAGCTTCTCACGCACACCCTGCCTGCGATCGAAAGCCTCACGTGCCCGCCTGGTGAAGGCCACAAAGGTGACGTCAGTCATCTTTGTGGCGGCCAGGCGGTTCCGGTCCCGCCTCTGCACACGAGCAAGGGTGGACCAGTAGCGTTCCACCTCGGATGAGGTGACTGGCTGTGATAGGGTCATCACAGCCAGCTCCTGAAGCGCCCCCCCTCCACCAATGTCGAGGCTGTCCAGCGGGCGTCGAGTGATCCAATCCGGCCCTCTCCTTTGTGGAACTGGGCCAGCTAAGTGCACAGCAATGCGCGCTTAGCCACGTCCCTGTCACGGGCTTGGATGACCTCATCCGCCCCTGCCGTAACCTCTTTGTCGTTCCTCACCACATTCTGGTATTGGTTTTGGGGGTTGAGAAGCCACCCCAAAGCATGCAACGGATTGTGTAGCTGGCCGTCCCATCTCTTGGCCACGATTGCCTTGATGGTGGCCAAAAAGGCCGGCTTGTCCTTTGTCGCTAGCAGGCCGGTGCGCTTGACGAATAGTCCCGCTGTGGAGGGAGAACCCAACGAACAAGTTAGTGGCTTATTTGGGATGGGAATCACGCTATATTATACCAAGATGTGTAAGCCGCTTACCTGCCGCCTCTGCAGCCTCGTTTGTTTTGACTGTAGCCTCTAACATGAGGCCATATATCTGCCCCATGAGTAGAGAGCATTTGTCAACAGCCCGAAGCACCTCATAGACCGGAGTCATGAGGCAACGGACTGCGTTGGCGAGTTCCCAAAACACATTGTCTAGTAGGAGCATCCGGACCGCCTGCCCCTCCTTCGTCCGTGCGACCGCCACCTGCTCCCACTCCTCACTAATCACCATCGCCCGGAGCGCCCACTTTACTTCCAAGAAGCGGCCGACCATTAACACTTGGGTCCCAAAACACGTTGCACCGGGGCGGACCAACGACAACTTGGTGAAGAGTGTCCGAAAAAGCACAACCGCGGAGGCGCTGCTCTTCACCATCATAACCACGCTGTAAACTTGTACTAGGACGCGTCTCACCGGCCGAACCTTCCCGAAGTCGTGCAACATGAGGTCCAACATGTGTGCGGCGCAATTCGTGAAGAAGACATGGGGAAATTTCGGGTTTAAGCAACTCGGTCGCACGTTTGTTGTCCATAACGACTTGGACGACGCGATGGCCTCCCACCATGCAGATCACATCGCCAATAAGTCCCGCCAGGTACGCTCCGGTCTTCTTTGCAGTCTTCGAGTCCACGACGTCAATTATGACGGGTGCCGCATCGTTTTGCGTGATGACCCACACCATGCCTCGTGACTTCATGCACGTCCACCCGTCCACCGAGAGGGAGCACCCGCTCGTGTTCCAGCTGTCCTTGAGCGGCTTAACGAGGTCTTCCGTATCAGCCTGGAGTCTGGCAAGCAGCGGGCCCGAGACGCGGTAGGGTGTGGGGCGAGTGTAAGGCTTTGCGAAGACGACGGCCGCGTCGACAAATGCCTGGAGCGATTTAGACCCCGATACGTTGAACGCGAGATCGTTATCCGCCACAGCCGCACACCACAGGTAGTCCAGACGCCCGCGAGCAACATCATCCGTTATGTCGCGGATGTCACGTTGCCTATTACAACATACGGGCTGAAGTGCAACCGAGGATGTGGAGGCATGGTTTTCACAACCCCCGGCGGCGGAACGTTCACACTCGGCTTCCGCACGAAGTAGCTCAGCCTTGTCTAGTTTGCACATCGTCACGTTCTTAAGCTTGTTAGAAGGACTCCCATAATTATGCTACTTAATACGCGCTGCGTTAGGAGTAACGGCATCTCCGCAATGCTTGCATGTCGCACAAACTACGTCGTCGGATGTGTTCTTGCTCACGTGCTTCCATAGGTCCGATAAAGGTCTCACCATGGCCTTAACTAATGTGAGAGATAGCTGCGGTAAATCTGATGCTAGGATGTGTTGACTAGTTTCTTCTGCTCCTATTAGTACCTTCGTGGGGCAAAGGGCTCAGCAAGCGTTGTCGAGTGGAATTTGGGGATGGGCTGATGAGAGGGATGGAAAATGTGCAGCTCTGATTGGTTGAAATGAGTTCGCATCGCAAAGGTTGGGTTGTCGCGCATGCGGGCGAAAACAAAAAATGGGGGTACCAAACTGTGCAGCGACTACGCGAAACATTCAAACAATTGGTGTTAGTTCGCCAAATGTTTGAATGTCGCGCCTCGCTAATTTGAACTCGTTGCGCTTCGGCGAATAGCTGAAACGACAGAGCGAAATGGTCAACCGATGTTGACCATTTCGCCAAATGCTCAAATGTCGCGCTACGGGTATATGTCGAAATTCACACTTCGGGAAAACAAATCACAAACGATAGGATTTGTGGGGACGGAATTCGGTCCCCACCAACAACGGTTGGGAATTTCGAATTTCGGTAGTGTGTGACCCGGTTTCAAAATTGCAGTCGTAAAAAACGACTGTATTTTGAACCAAACGAGAAAAAGGAACATTTTTAACCGTATTTTACCATTTTAAACGACCGTAACTTACGATACCATTTTATACAGTAAAATTTCAAAAAAACGACTGTCATTTTGATCCTTGCTCGGATATATCATTGGTGGCCATAAAACAGCTCTCAACGCACTGTTCTCTACCTTGCCTTTCTCCCCTGGGCTATGCCTCTTTCCAGGTCTCTCAGTTTCAATATGCTCATTGGAACTATTCCTGATTGCCTCACCTCCCTTACAAAATTGACAACCATGTAGGAATTGCAAATCCTCACTTCTACCTTGGCGTATTGCTCTATATGTTGTCCTTCATGACCACCTCATTGTGTCAATTGCACTTATTTTAAATCATACCAATAGAGTGTACCACAAGAAATCTCAACATCCTCGTAGCATCATGACACTGCTGCTTTCCTTAACACTCTTACTTGCATGCACCCTTGCCTCTGCGGGAGAGGTTCTTCTTCATCTTTCTCTCCTTCGCAGGGCGATCAACAACAACAAGCTGAATGACTCTATTCCTTCAGGCGTTGGCGCACTCACAAACCTGAAAAGACTGTAAGAGACTTTATGTACTCTGCCAACTAACTCTGGCTGTAATCTGCAATCTCCCCACCACTCCTTGCCGCTAACTCCCTACATGCCTGCAATAGCACTCATATACATTTCTCACCACTAATTTCCATGGGTCTAGCTCCCTTGCGTCTTGGATCTTCTTGCCTGTGTGCATGTTACTCAAACCTGTAATTATGTTACAATTTATTTCACTGTTATGCCCATTCTCCTTACTCCCATTTCTTTTTCATCAGTTCACCAGGCTTTGCTTAAATACCTTACCTTCCTTTTGTGTCTTGTCTATCACTACATCAAAACCATAACCGCTGCAGACAGTCACAATCATAACCATAACCATAGTCTCTCTCTCTCTCTCTCTCTCTATCTCTCTCTCTCTCTCTCTCTCTCTCTCTCTCTCTCGAATGGTCCTTACATTAATTGATGGGTGGTACATGGGTAGGTGCAAGCACATGCACAACAAACAAACCTCCTACCTATCACATATCTCCTAGGTCAGCAGGCAGACAATGCGTAGGTCTTTTGGGGGGTGCCGGGCGAGGGGTGGCTGGCGACTGTCACAAAGCGGCTCAAGGTTCCAGCCGGCGACCTGGGCAAAAAGGTCCTGTCATTTCGCCAGGTCGCAGGGCTTGATCATTGGTGGGGTGGGGGTTTGGGCTGCAGGGTTCCCATTGGCTGCAGCTAGGTTGAATGTGTTTTCCGGAGCGGCTCGATTTCCCCCCCTTGACCAATTTTCCCCCGCAGTTCGATACCTGCGAGGTGTTCGAGTTGCAGACGCGGCTCCAGTCTCCTGGTTGGGAAACTCTGCCCCGTGAAGCAGGAACTCCTCTTCCTCCTCAGGTTCCAGATCTGAAACCCCCTCCGTTTCAGGGTTAAAAGCGGGGTCACCCCCATTGCTCTCGTCATTCTCAGCTTCGCTGTTACCTTACTCGCCAGCGGCTTCCTCACCGCCTCCCACTCGTTCCCGAAGCAATCTCTCGGCGGTTCTCACATAGCCGCTCACGCCGCTCTGTCGCCTGCTTCCTTGGTGTGTTCTTCCTCCTCGTTGTCCTCTCCCACCTCCGTGCTGTCCTACAGGCGTGTCTCGCGGCGTGGCCTGGCTGCACCTTGTTGGCGTTCGATTTTTGCCAACAACTGCCTCCGCCGGCAGGGGCTCTGGCGTCCTCGGCTCACGCCTTGGTCGTGATGGCGGGGTCCGTGGGTCGCGACCGCGCGTTAGAGGCAACCGCAGAGAGCGCTCAACTCGTGGCGGAGCCGAACGCGGAGCCTGCGCCTCCCCGTCCCCAGGTCCGAGCCCGTCCTGCCGCGAGTGAGCCCACGCGCCGCCTCGTACGCGGATTGTCGCTTCCGCTGCGTGGAGAGGGGCGTCCTGTGTCTCCCTTGCAGTCGCGCGCACCAGTACTTGTTGTGTCGAATGACGAGCATGCGTGTCAGGAACGTGGTCGGTCCCCGCAACGCCATGGGCTGCGCCCCGCGTCTACTGTGCAGCGCTCTCCTGAGCCGCGTGGGTCGTGGCGCCGGCGGGAGGAATATCAGCGGGACCTCCAGCACCGTGACCACCGCTACCGTTCACCCCAGCGGCTACCCCAGGATCGCGCGTTGCCAGGGAAGCGATCGCCGCGGCAGAGGTCTCCGCACCAGCGTTCTCCCCGGCCGTCCCCGCCACGTCATGGCCGAGGATCTCCCGCGCACTGGTGGGATGGTCGCCGGGGGGAGGATCCGTCCCCACTGCATCCCCAGTCGGCGGGGTCCGGAGGCCGTCGTGGGCGGCGTCGAGGTTCAGCGCACGAGGGGAATGGTCGCGGCCAGGGCTCAGCCGTTGACCGCGCGTCGAATATGTTTGCGGCGGCAGTGCATCAGGTGCAGGCGGGCAGGGAAGCGGCTCATGTTCATGTGTCTGTAACAACTGAACCCCCCTCCATCCCAGCAGGGGCTGCTGCAGCGCCGATGCGCGCGCCGATATTGCGCGAGTACCTGCCAGCCGCAGCGGCGAGGGGGCCCTTCCGAAATTGTTGCCAGGCCCCGGGATACCCTGCTCCTCAGAATCCGTTTGGCCAAACTCCAGGCCAGATGGCGGCGTTTCCACCGCACGGAGTTCCTACTGCACCTCTCCCCACCCGCGCTGGGAGAGATCCCACGTTGAGCATGTGCCGGATGTGGAACTTAGCGGGCACGGCTGAGGGGGTGGCGAGCCTGCAGTTGGCGGTGTATGAGGCCATGCGTCATACACCGAGCAGTTTTGCTCAAGTGCCCCAAGGACAGTGCATCGCTTGGGTAGAAGCGATCGTCCCCGTTTTAACACCCATGTCGGGAGCGCCCGCAGCGCCCTTAGCCCGTACTTTCCCCCACCTCGCCCTTGATCTTCACGCGGCTGCACTGAATGGGACCCTGGTTGACACTCTTCGCTTCTCGGCGGAGCTCCTCCATACGATGGCGGGTTGTCTTCTCTCGATGCCTGAGGCGGAGGGGGCTGGCCTGTACTCGAAGTAGAGCGAACAATGAGCCGCCGGATTTGCAGTGAGAATGAACTCACCACCGAACAATGAGGAGGAGTATGGGCTCCTTGCCCTTATATTCCAGAGAACTGGGCTAAAATGGCTAAAGACTAGGCTAGGCTAAGGATCTAGGCTGAAAGATGGCTAAGGACTAGGGCCTAAGGGTCTCTCTCTCTCAAACGGTCCGTTGTATTGATTCAGAGAGGGTACAGACATGCAGTTTTATTCGTGATAGCTTCAAACCCTTTTAGCCCTTTAACCCACATTCCTTACCATCCCCCCTCGTAGAGCCCCTCTAATCCTCCAGCGTGTGGAGGATGTCCCCCAGGTGTAGTGGCCAAGGGTCTGCTGCCATCTGGGGGTGTGCTGCCTCAATACCAGCCTGACCTTGGTGTGCAGGGCGTTTGCCTGGGAACGCTGATGGGCCACCGACCAGCGCTGGCTGAAGTGGCAGGCCATCTTCTTGGCCGATTTGGCCAAGGGGTTGGCCCTGAAGCGGTTCCTGGCTGCTGCCGTGGCCAGTATCTTCAGGAACGCCGTCGTGGGGGGTGCGTTCGCCCCATAGGTCTCGACGGCCAGGGCGCAGAACACGACGTGCTCGGTGTGTCGGTAGTAGTCCCTCTCTTTCCGCCTTTGTGCCTCCCTTGCCGCCCAGCCTGGGGGTTTGCGGGCTGTGGGGTCCCGGTTCTGCAGCACAGGGTCAGTGATAGTTTTGTCAGTGATCCAGGTCTCTCCACTATCCGGGTCGCGTACAATCACATCGGCTTTCTTCGGGTCATCCGGCGGTGAGTACATGGCATTTTCCAGGTATACCACCAGCTGTGCCTCCCTTGCCATCTTGGCTACGGCAATACCCAGCTGGTTGTGTGTGCGTGTCCTGTCGGGGCCTGTGCTGCAGCGGAGTAGGTGGTTGGGGAGGCTGCAGTCGGCTACGACTTCTCCACACTCGCACATGGTGGGTACGTTCTGACGGATGCCCATGCGGAAAGCTAGCGCCGCTCAGAATTTGCCCGGTGAGAAGCAAAGGTCCGGGGTCAAAGGTAGGGCCTGTAGCCACACTCCCGCTCCGTCGCCTCTCGGGCTGACAAGGCGGAGTGTGTGGCCCATCTCAGGGGCTGACTGGATTGTGCGCGAGTAGTCTATCAAGGCCTCGGCCTTAGCCGCGTGCACTTCCTAGGAGAGGGCGCATTGCAGCTGGTCTTGGGACGGGGTCTGCTGCTCCTCCCGGAGGTTTTGCAGTGTCAACGGTGGCAGGCGGCCTTCCATATCCTGGATGGTCACCGGGTGTGCAGCAGACGGCTGCAGGGCGTTGTTGTTGGCCCCTAGAGCTGCGGATGCTGGAAGGTCAAGTGAACGCAGCAGTCGTAGCGCCTCCGTCGTTGATGCCAGGTAGGCTGGTGCTGCCTCTGTTGCGGGGTCTGTAAGGCCCAGCCCGCCTAGGGCGACCGGGAGAGTTGCTTGTCGAAGGAGGAAGTTGAACTCAGCTTCTCGGCGTGGCGGTTGAATGCTAGCGGCAGTCAAGGCGCTGATGAGCAGTTCGGAGCACCAGGTGTGCCATTCCAAGAGAGGAAGGACGTCTGCTGGGGTAGTGCGCAGTAGGTAGCCGACTCTGCGGCTGATGCAGCAAGATAGTAGCAGGAGGGCGTGTTGTCGGTGGATGGACGCCAGAGAGCCCAAGGGAGCTGCCGCGTCTGTCAGAGTACTGCGGACGAAGTCGGCGCAGAAGCTCTGCGAGCCCACAGGGCTTCCGAGCACACGCACCCCCTCGTGGGTGAGAGGTAAGCCCTCGGGGAGAACGTCACGTCCCAGCGGCAAGGAGGACCACGCCGACGACTTCCCAAAGTTGCAGGTGAGGCCATCTCATGCTAGTAGCGGTGTGAGCACACTTAATGCGCCGAGCGTCGCTGTTATTGGTCCTATCAAGGTAATATCGCCTGCGTATGCTAGGACCGTGACGTCAGGGTGGTCTGATGCTAGGCGCCTGAGGTGTTGCTGGATTGACGCTGCGAATAGCAAGGGTCCGAGGGGGCCCCCCTGTCTGACCCCACGTCCACTGGTGAGTGTCGTTGAGCCTAGACGTGGGTCGAGCAGCAGTTGTGACGGCGTTGCGTAGAATGGGCGCGTAAATGGGATGAGTGGAGCTAGCAGGGAGTTTGTGAGTGCGTTGAAGATGCGCTCTTCTCTACAGAGTTGAACACATTTTCGATGTCGAGTTGGGGGACTAGGCTGGAGGGTTGTGCTGAGGTGATGTCCCTCACAGCGTGGATGACAAACTCCGCCCCACCTGGGACTGCCACGCCAAATTGCTGAGGTAAGAAAAAACGTCGTGCTTCTCCTTGTAGTTCAGAATGCGTCACTTTTGCTGCCAGCCGAAGCAAGGACTCCCCTACCGCGATAGGGCATACGCCCCCCCCCCCCCCACCCAGGTTTAGCAAAGGCGATGAGGCGAGATGGTGAGAGCAGAGCTGCAACCCCGGTGGAGAGGTTTGTCGAGAGAAAGTGTGTTATAGCAAAATGGAGGTGCTCTAGTACCTCGATGTTACTTAGGGCTGGGTCACGGTAGTGTTCGAAGGTTGACCCTGACGGACCAGCCCCAATTCCGCAGGGGCATTCCCCAAGGACATTGGAGAAATTTCCGCAGTGGTCGAAAATTGCGTGGGTGTGGTGTAGGTGTGGACCCAGTCGGGCAGGTCAATCTGGGGTTGGGGGTGTTTCGATTCCAACTGCTGCAATGTCGCATTTGTCGCAGGGCAGCAGGCGAGGGCTGAAGGGCTGCTACCGCCTTTCGCAGGTTACCCCGTTTCACCAACCCCTCTGCACGAGAGCAGATTCCCAGGTGGTCACGTTGGTGCTGAGGTGGCTCTGCCAGGTGCAGGGACCCCACGTATTCAGAGTATAGTTGGGCCCACTGGCCACATCTGAATTCTGAATAGGTGCATCTGAGCCCGTAGCACCTTCCACCTAGAGTTCGACCTCCTGCTAAATCGTAAAGTGAGACGTGGCAGGAACATGAGGACACACCACGCTCCCTCGCAGTTTGGCGATTTGGAGATCCGTAATAGGGCAGCCAGCATACAGGTGGAGTAGTCGCTTAGGATTTGCGGCGGGGGGTGGCGGGCAATAGGCAGATGAGTGGTCGAGGTGAGGATAGTAGAGTCCCAGCTCATCGCGATCTCAAAGAGATCATCCCGCGAAGCCAGCTGGGACGCCGATAGGGCATGGTCCGGAGGCGGCTGTGATCTGCGGGGTTGTCGGCGGCCAGTTCCTATGTCCTGCTGCTGCGCATGCTCCGCTCCTGGTTCCGCGCGAGGTGAGTCAGGATTGTCGGGTTGCCTCAGATCTGACAGTACACAATCGTCGCCACTTCCCTCTGTGTTTGTATCGCCGTTTCCCACTGCTTGCGCCGATGTTCCTCCCCTCGCCCCTCGCCTAGCGAACGACGGGCGCGTGACTTGTTCCGCCGCCCCCCCCAACCAGATTGGGCTCGGCATTTGCCGGGGAGCTCCCCTTGCCGCTTGGCCTGCGCTCCTCTGTCCTCCGCGCGCTCCTCGTCGTGCGCCTCTCCCGCGCATGCTTCCCCGTCCACTCCGAGGGGTGGCTGCCACAGGTGCCGCCTGTTGCAACTGGGTGGTCGGCGTTGTCGGCTCCGCTCGTGCCGCTGGGGGCCCTTGAACGCCGACCAATGGATTATCTCGGCGCTCTGGGCCGTGAATGCTACACGGAGAGTGATCCCGCTCCACGTCCGCTACCTCCTACTCGTCCTGTCGCGAGCGTACCTGTTGTTCCGCCGGCATCCGCAGATGAAATTCGTCACCGCTTCGAGGGTCACTAGCTCGAGCTGGCTCCGCGCGCGGGCGGATCCTCGCCTCGGAGGGCGCCTGAGCATGCGGGGTCCGTCGTGCGCTCCGGCGCAGAGGCTGTGGCGCACCGGGAGCGTTCGCCTCGCCATCGTTCCTCGGCTGCTCGCCATGACAAGCGGGAGAACCGCCGCGACGATCGTCGCGATGTGGCTCATTCGCCGCGGACTCCTCGTTCACCGCCGTCGCCTCGTTCGCCTCGTCGCGTGGTGTCACGGAGCAGGTCCCACGACCACCGCTCGCATCGTCATCGTTCGTCCGCTCCTCGTCCCCCTCGTCAGTGTTCGCCTGCTCGTCGTGTGTCTGGATGTCGGTCCCCGGCTCCGCGTTCGCCTCCTCGTGCAAAGCGCCGGCGGCTCTACTCCCCTCGTCGCGGAGATCGTTCCCCTGACCACCAGCAGCGGCGGGGGCCGTCTCGCCAGCAGTCGCCAGTGCACTCGAACGCAAGTGGGTGTGCGCGATGTGGTCGACGCGGAGGTAATGGTCGTGGCGGAACCGCGCGTCCAGCGCCTTCCGCAATGGAGCGCGTCCGGAACAGATTGGACGGTGTGGAGAAAGCTCTCCACCGCTCCCATGCGGAGTCGTCCTCGCAATCTGCCCCTCCAGCTGCTCCGGTCTCTCTCTCTCTCTCTCTTTCTCTCTCTCTCTCTCTCTCTCAATCTCTCTCTCTCTCTCTCTCTCTCTCTCGAATGGTCCTTGTATTAGTTGAAGGGTGGTACAGAGGTTGAAGCAGACACATGCATACCAAACAAACAAGCGAGCCTATCAACATCACCTACCCTACTCCCGCCCCCCCTCTGTCCGACCCTAGAGGTCGAACGGGGGCTCTATCAGCTGGTGTAGCTGCCCCTCGTTCAGAGGGGCCCATGGCCCTTGCAGGCCCAGCTCGTCCGCCGCCAAGGCCTCATTGGTCTTGGTGCGGAGGGCGTTTGCCTGCGCCCTCTGGAGGCAGACGCTCCAGCGCTGGCGGTACTCCGTCAGCAGCTTGGCAGCCTCTCGTGAGGAAGGGGCCGCATTGTAGCGGAGTTTAGCAGCCAGCTCCGCGCATTGCCGCAGGTAAGCTAGCACCCCCGGTGACGGGTAGCCGTAGGTCTCAACGGCTAAGGCGTGGAAGCCCACCCACGCGTTCCGACCCGCATATTTCTCCTCTTTCCTAGTAGCTGCCTCCCTAGCCGCCCAACCTGGTGCGCGGTTGCAGTTCTCGTCCTGGTAGGACACCGGGTCTGTCACGGTCACATCACAAAGCCAGACTTCTCCGGTCAGGGGATGGCGGATGGAGACATCCGCTTTGAGGTTTTCAACCAGAGAATAGGCGCAGGTCTCCTTGTGAACCGTGAAGCTTGCTTCTGCCCTTATCCTTGCTATCTCATCCCTGAGAGCGTGGTGTGTGGCAGTCCTCCCTTTCCCCTTCTCGCAGCGCATAAGGTGGTTCGGGAGGCGGTCATCAGGGAAGGTGGTGCGGTGTCGGCAGTCGCACCGCCTCGGGACGGGGAGGGGGAGGCCTAGGCGGAAGGCCGATGCAGTAGAGTGCTGGGGGGGGGGGCAGCCAAAGTGCAGAAGTGAGAGGAATTGCCAACAGCCAGTCCCCTGCTCCCGGGCCCAGCAGGGACTGCATCCGCTGGGCATGCCCTAAGAGGGGGTTGGGGCGCATCCGCCGTGCCCTGTTAAGCACTCGAAGGTAGCGGCGGGTGTGGACTGCCAGAGCATTCGCCTCGCCTCGCGCATGACTCTCAGGAAGCGGCGGGAGTGAACCGCCAGTGCTAGGCTCTGCTGCAGCTTCAGTCCCTTGGGGTCCGCCTTCCCGGCCTGGAGCGCCTCGAGAGCCTCGGGGGGGAGAGCTGCCTCAGCCGCAGCGAGGCGTGCTGGCAGTGCGTGCGGAGAGCCGTGGGTCGGGTCCAGTAGGGGGAGGAGTGCGGCGACAGCAGGGTGCAACGAGTCCTCCAGGGAGTGCAGGAGGTGGGCGGCGCTGATCACTGAAGCGAGGTAGGCGTAGCTGCCTCTCAGGGTCACTGGCAAGGCCGCCTGCCACCAAATCCTCCGTCTCTCCCCGGCACCCCTCGGGCTCATGATGTGGGCCGAATCCAGGAAGGTATGTAGAAGCTGTTCCCCCCAAGCAGACCATTCCGCTTCAGGGAGGGCTTCCAGGGGGGTGGTTCTGGCCAGAAAGGATGCTCGGCGGCTGACACAGCGGGTGAGGAGGAGGAGACTGAGCTGGGGATCCATCTGGGCCAGCAGGGGGAGTGGGGCTGCTGCTGCTGCCAATCTCTCTCTCACAGCGCCTGCGCAGCCCCGGGGTGTGCCAACCGGGCTGCCGAGAATCTGCAACCCCTCTTCAGAGATTGTAATGCCTGGGGGAACTGAAAAGGGGTCAATTGCTGTTGCGGACCACGCCGCGCACTTGGCCGGGTTGTGTACCAGGCCGAGGGCGGCTAGTGCAGATGTGATCAAAAGCCGCTGTGCAGGCCGTGGCGTCGCCGAGCAGCGTGATGTCATCGGCGTACGCCAGCAGGACCACCTGAGGGTGTGCAGCCGCCGTGTCAAGAAGGCACGGGTGGATGCTTGCCGCGAACAGGAGGGGGCTGAGCGGGTCCCCTTGGCGAACTCCTCTGGCGCTCTGCAGCAGGGCTGCGCCAAAGTCATGGTCGAGGTAAAGTGAGGAGGGAGCCCCATAGGATAGGCACGAGGGGGATCAGATCCTTCAGCGCCTCGTTTTTCAGTCCTTCGAACACCGCTCTCCTTTCGACCGCGTTGAACGCGTTCGCGAGGTCAATCTGCAGCGCCACTGCCTCAGGGTGGACTTCTAGGAACGTGCGAGCGGTGTGGATAGCCGCTTCAATCCCCCCTGGTACTGCTACTCCGAACTGCAGGGGGGCAAAGTGATTACGAGCGGCCGGCGCGGTCAGAAATAGTGCGGCTTTTGTAATGATCCGGAGGAGGCACTCTCCCACCGCGATCGGCCTCGTCCCCCCTTGAAGTTTCGTAAAGGCTAACAGGCGGGAGGCCGTTAAGAGTTCCCCTGCGAGTGTGGGGAGTTTTCCTGCTAGAGCCGTGTTAGAGAGGGCGAGGAGGTGGGTGAGTACTTCGGCATTCCCTAGGGCTGCGTCGCGGATGTGCTCGAAGGTGGTTCTTGAAGGGCCAGCCCCGACTCCGTTGGGGAGCTTGGCGAGGAGACGCCTGAAGTCGCGGGCTTCGATAGTGGGTGGCTCTTCCGCCGTGGCGGTGTGGAGCCAATCGGGAAGTAATTGGCAGGCAGATGGGTGTCTCGCCGTGAGGTCCTCCAACACTTCAGGTGAGGCTGGTGACACAGGAGTGGCCTGGAGGGATTGAAGTGATTTTGACAGGTTACCCCGTTTTGCCAGTCCTTCCGCCCTTGCCAGTATTCCGGTTGTGTCAGGTGCGTGGCAAGGTTGCGGTGGCAGGGAAATCGCCTGGACAGCTTCTTCGTATAGGTCGGCCCAGAACCCTTGGCGAAATCGCAGGAGCCGGTTCATCATCGCGCTCCAATCAGGTTTACAGGCTGACGAGGTGCGAAGGAGTATGTGCGGGAGAAAGGTCAGTAACTTCCACCCTGGTGGGGATTCGGGATTGGCTGCCAGGTGGAGTAACGGTGTCAACATGCAGATCGCGAAGGAGTCGCGAAGGTCTTTGGGGGGGTGGCGGGCGAGAGGCGGTTGGCGACTGTCTCGGGCCTGCTGGTTTGGGAACTCCGCTTCCCGAAGCAGCAGCTCCAACTCTTCCTCGTCCTCCTCGGCCTCTGCTTCCAACACCCCCTCTCTTTCTGGGTTAAAAGCAGGGTCACCCCCTTCGCTTTCTTCATTCTCGACTTCGTCCTCTGCTTCCTCGCTGGGCTCCTCCCCGCCGCCTTCCATGCCTTCACGCATTAGCCTTTCAGCAGTTCTCGCGTAACCGCTTGCGCCGGTGCGGCGCCGATTTGGGCCGCGCGCTCCTCCACTTCTCCGTCGTCTCCCGTTCCCACGACGTCCGCGGTGGCTGCTGCCGCGTCCCAAGCGGATTCCCCGCGATCCTCTTCCTCCTGCAGCTCCCGTGCGTCCTGTCTAGGGCGCCTCGACCACCTCGTCCTCAATTTGTTGGCGCGCTGGCGTCGGCTGCGGTGCTGTTGGGGGTGATGGACCCATCCGCGAGACGGGATCCGGAGCTCCCGCGGAGAGCGCGCTGCTGGAGCCTGCGCCTGCCGGGCTTCGTCTGCGTGTCCCTGCGCACCCCTCCGCAAGCGAGCCTGTCCGCCGCTTCGAGCGAGTGCTAACTCTTCCCCATCGGCCTGCCGCGCGCCCCACCTCGCCGGAGTATTCGTGGGCCCCTGCACGTGTTGCGTCGAACCGCCCGGACGGTCAGCCGCGGCAGGAGCGCGGGCGCTCGCCTCCGCGTCAGCCTCCTCGGCAGCCCTCTCCTCGCCACCCATCTCCTGAGCATCGCGAACCTCCTCAGCGCAGGGAGGGCGATCAGCGGTCCCCTGCGCGTCCTCGCTCTCCTCGCCGCCCATCTCCTCTTGGTCGGGCAGGCCAGCGCTCACCCCGAGCACGATCTCCCGTGCAACGCTCTCCGCGGCGATCTCCGGCGACGCGGGGGAGGGGGTCGCCTGGATGTCGCTGGGATTCGGGCCGTCGTGAGCAGTCCCCTCCGCGTCCGCACTCGGCTGGTTCCGGAGGTCGGCGGGGCCGGCGGAATGGCGGTGGGCGTGGCAGTACTGATCGCGGGCAGGATCCTGCCCTCGATCGGGCCACGAATGCGTTTGCGAAGGTGGTGCGGCAGGCGCGGGCGAGCGGGGAGCCGACTCACGTACACATTGAGGTGACCAACGGACCTCCCTTCGCCGCGGACCCTGGCCAGGTGGCTCCTCTGCGCGCGCCGACGCTGCGCGAGTATATGCCCGCGCGGGAGGGGAGGGCTCAGTTCCGCACCCCTCGACAGGTCCTGGGCTTCTCCGCGCAGCGCTTCTCTGTAGGACGGACTCCTGGCTGGCCGACGGCGTTTCCGCGCGAAGCTCCGACTGCACCTCCCCCCACTCACGCGGGGAGAGACCCCATGCTGACCATGTGCCGGATTCTGAATCTGGCGGAGGCGTGCGAGGTGGTGGCGAACTTGCAGCTGGCGGTGTGTGGGGCCACGCAGAACTTTCCGAGCAGTTACGGTCCAGGATCCCGAGGGTCCTGCGTGTCTTTGGCAGAATCGCTCGAGTCGCCGTTGGCACCCGTGTCGGAAGCGCCCGCCGGGGTAGCTCCCTTAGCGCGTACCTTCCCCCGCCACGTTGGGGATCTTGTAGGGGCTGCTCGAGTCGGGACCCCTGTGGACACATTTCAGTCGTCGGGGCATCTCCTCCTTGCGGTGTCGGCGTGCATGCGCTCGATGCTTGAGGTGGAGGGGGCGGAGCCGTACACGATGTAGGCTTCCGCCGCGTGTAGTACTGCATCCATGTAGCTCTTGTTGTCGCCTTTATCCCTTGCTTGTTTTGTGTGTGTGCCCGTTGTAAAAGCGCTCCTTCGTTTGTTGCCTTGCCACCAGGAGCGCGCGGCCGAAGGCCGCCGGCACGAGCCGCTGGAAAAAACGAGCCCACACGAAATAATGAGCAAGGGCACAAGCAGCCCTTAAGTAGGCACGGAGGGCAGAGGGCAGAGGGGAGAGGCAGAGGGCAGAGGGCTAAGGTTCCTCTCTCTCTCTCTCGCTCTCTGAGCCGCTGGAAAAAACGAGCCCACACGAAATAATGAGCAAGGAGGGGCACAAGCAGCCCTTAAGTAGGCACGGAGGGCAGAGGGCAGAGGGGAGAGGCAGAGGGCAGAGGGCTAAGGTTCCTCTCTCTCTCTCTCTCTCCCTCTCTCTCCCTCTCTCTCCCTCTCTCTCTCTCTCTCTCTCTCTCTCTCTCTCTCTGTCTAATGGTCCTCGTATTAACATCAAGGTGATTACAGGCATGCAAGTGAGAACGTCGAATCAGACAAAATACACATTGAAAGCGCCTACAGAGGTCCTTTGTATCCCTAAGGGAGCTCCAATGCGGGCTCCAGAATGGGGAGGCAGTCCCCAAGGAACATGTCTTCGCCTGGGGCGCCCACTGCTGGGTTTTGCGCCTGGGCCGCTAGATTGCACTTCGCCATGTAGCCCACTGCTTGCCCTTGTTGCAACGCCACCAACCAGCGCTGGCAAAATTGGTGCAGCAATTTCTCTCTCTGAAATGGTCTGTATATTGAAATATAAAAGAACAGACAAGCAAGTGGGCCAGGTGAGTCAAAGATAGCTAACAAGACAATCTGACAAACTATTTGCATTCTCTTTTGCCCTTCTTGCTTGTTTCACAAGATTCACCTTCAAGCAGGCGGTGCACTTATCTTATCAGCTGCTCGTTCCACTGCTTGCTTTCCAACTTTCAGTGATGTTTCGACTAACCTGCTTTCAGGCAGCATCCCTGCGACTATCAGCGCTCTTGCAGCACTTTCCATGTGAGTCACACATGTGAAGTGGGCAAGAAGGCAAGTGCGTACAACCATACAGGTACTGTAATTCACATGCCTATGAGGCCGACACAGAAGGCAAATACTTCCATACCACGTACCAGACATGGTCAGACTGGTAACAAGAAAGGGAGTACTACTGTATTATCTATTATTAAAAAATTGATCATAGGGCCGAGCCTATGCCTTATAGCTTTGTTGTGAGCACCAGTGGAGCCGCTCTGCTGAACCTGGTGGCATTGGCAGGTAGGGGAGGTAGGGGAGGCATGTTGGCATGTAGGGACGGCATGTTGGCATGTAGGAACGGCGTATTTGCACAGAGCAAGACTGAGTGATTGGTACTTGCAGCAGCTGGTCTTATTGGGAAGTATTACCAGAAAGTATTACTTCTTTCCCATTGCTCTGGGAGCAATGGTCTGCTGTCACTGCAATGAGCCGTCCCAGCATAAGACATCGTGGGATTATTACCTGTGGCTCTATGTGGCAACTGAAAAGGATGCTCGTTATTGAGTGGACGCTGCTTGAGCCTCTCTTAACACTCCATCTCCTTGCTGCTCCATGCAGGAGTTTCCGCATCAACAAGCTTACTGGCCCCATCCCTTCTGTGATGGGTTCCTGGACAGGGCTCACAACATGGTAAGGCATGCCCTTTTTGCTGCTTCTTTCACACTCCTTACACCATCAGTGGTTGTTCATGGATGACCATTGGATTTCGTTGGAAGTCTCTCACTTGCTTTTGAAACTTCTACATGAGTGCCTCACCCCTCCTGCCCCTCTTTGAATGTTGAATTATTCCATAGTTTGTTTCCCTCTTTTCCTTCTGACACCGTTCTACTCATGTCATGGCCCCTTGATCATAGCTTCCATGGAATTTTATTCCCTGGCACTGTAAATAATGTCATGCTATTTCAGCAGCAGCAATATCATTGCTTCGATCCTCCGTACTTCTATCCCGTTCATGCTGTTCTTTTATTGTTGTTTTTGTTGCTGTGGTTCTGCATTTGATTTACTACCCGCATGCGTAATCCGTCACTCTATGAATTCAATAAGTTCTCTAGCTTTTAATCATCGTCGTGATTTCCTGCTCTTGTTTGCCGGTAAGCACAGCCTGCATCTCTTCTCTTCAACAAAACCCTACAATGCACTACATTTGTCTAGAATTTTCATGCTTGCCTCGTAATTCTCAGTGATTTCTCAGTCAACCTTCTATCAGGCTCCATACCTGACAGTATTGGTGCTCTTACTTCGGTAACTTTCCTGTGAGTTGTTTGGCCGCAAGGTAACTTCGTTGTACAGGATACTACGTCCAAGCGTGTGGTGTGAATTTAAACTCATGTAAGCTTTTGATTCTCTTCTCACCAGTCATTTATTTTTTTGTTGTCCCCGCATTGATATCCTCCCTGTGTTTCGCTTCAGAAAGGTTCTTACTATCGATGAAGCCATGCATCACCTTCTTGATTTGCAGTTATTAACCTTTTGCTTGCTTCTTGCAGTACAATTGTTTTCTTGAATTATTTCTCATCCCACCCCTGTGCTATAGCACAACAAACATTCGTATCTTCGTCCCATGTTTTAAGCCATACATTCCACAGGCAAAAAAAAATCCTCATACCCGCCTGCCTCTGCCTCTGCCACTTACCATGCATTTTGTAATTCACTATACCGTAACCAGCTCACTGGCTCCATCCCTGCGACTATTAGTTCCCTCGGAAATGTCCAAACCTGGTAAGGCCCCTTTTGTTGTAGTAGTAGTAGTAGTAGTAGTAGTAGTAGTAGTAGTAGTAGTAGTAGTAGTAGTAGTAGTAGTAGTAGTGGTGGTGGTGGTGGTGGTGGTGGTGGTGGTGGTGGTGGTGGTGGTGGTGGCGGTGGGGTGGCGGTGGTGGCAGTGGCAGTGGCAGTGGCAGTGGTGGTGGCAGTGGCAGTGGCAGTGGCAGTGGCAGTGGTTGTGGTAGTGGTAGTGGCCTATGGCTGGTTTTGTCCTTTGCGAGTGAACTGACAACATGGCTGGTTTGCCCCATGTGGCCTGTCCGCTCCTCCTGTCTCCTAAAACCCCCTTTTGTGCCTCACAGCGACCAACTTCTCTTTTGCCATCACTATCCCTTTGTTCCTCTACTCAGTAAACTCCAGCAAAATATGTTAACCGGCACCATCCCTACTGAAATCAGTTCCATGACATCAGTATCAATCCTGTAAGCCCCACCCTTCACTAATCTCATCTGTTTTGTTAGCAAGGTGACTTTTGAGTCAACTAAAGTAACCATTTTTGGAAGCAGGTCAACGGCCGTGAGTCAACTAGAAAAGAAGCCATGACTGGAAGCAAGACAATGCATAGCTGTGTGATGTTTGTGTTGAGCTAAAGTGTATCATGTGCCATTATAATGAGGCGACTTTTGAGTCGACTCAAAAGTAACCATGTACTGAAGCAAGACAATGCATATTTGTGTGTTGTTGGTACTCACAAGCATTTTTCAAACTGAGTTCCCTGGCTTCGCTCATCGTATCAGTCTTTACAGGATTCCTGGTTAGGCTGAATAAGCAATCAAGCCACTTCTCCTTCCATATAATGAAATCTCATCTCCTTATTCCATTCAGGCAACTTCATGAAAATCAGTTCACTGGCTCCATCCCTTCTGAAATTGGTTCCCTGAAAAATCTTGTGAGCCTGTAAGCCCCACCTTCCTCTTCCAATGATGAATGCTTCCTGCCCTTCCCCTATAGTTTTGTTGATTCACTATGGTCCAGCTTCTGTCAATCTTTCTATCTCCTAGATTCATATAGCGTTGTTTCTTGTCGAGCTGCATTTTTGTAAGCCCCACGTTATTCTTCTCACGATGAATGTTTCTTGCCCATTCTTGTTGTTTGAATGACTCACTTTGTTCCAAAACTTGTCAATATTTCTATCACTTAGATTCTTACGTCCCTGTTGATTTATTTTTTGATATCGTATCACATTGCAACCTTCATTTGACCAACACCGCTGTGAGACCTTGGTATCTGCCTTTTCATGTGCATTTCTCTTGGTAACAACCAGCTTTCAGGCAGCATTCCCGCAATTTTTAGTGCTCTCACTGGTCTCACTAACTTGTGAGTCGAGCACATCAATTCGAAGTTAGTTCCACAAGGCTCCCAAGTTCCACCAAGTAAACCGAGTCAGTCATTTTGGTGTTTTTTGGCTTGGTCTGCCAGTAACGAACCACCCCAGCATGGATCAGAGTACAGCACTCCCGACCCGAATGAGAAATCCGTAGCAGCACACGAGTTCAGACAACAGGCATGTTTACAAACATGCACTTGGAAAATGTGACAAGCTCGGGCCTTAACACCATTAGCCTACAGAGAATCGTGGACCTCTCTTGGTGCGGGATTGAAGGTCCTGGGCGAGAATATAATCATACTCAGATCCGAGCAAATTAGATTGGGGTCGGGCTGGCCTGGTTTTGACATTTTCACACATGTCTAGTATAGACGTGTGCCCTTCATAAGTGCAATCTCAGCCTTGGCTCACCACATCAACCTCGCCGCAAGGATTTATGGATTAAACTGGCATCCAAGCCGCTTCACCTACTATTTGACCACTGGTGCCTCTGCCTTTCTTGAATTCCCACATATTCCAATCAGACAATTGAGTACCAATCAGCTCTCTGGCTCCATCTTGGACCAGCTTGATCCCTTGAAAAATCTCCGATTGATGTAAGCCCTATTCTTCTGTTTCTAAAGGGCATATGATAATTTCCGTCTGGACTCACTCCCTTGTTTGTTCTGTTGGCCTCTCAAATTCTTTACTATTTTCAAGATGCTGATGCCCCGTTTCCATTCCTATCCCCTCAGCCAGTGCACTTGCGTTCAACTTACCTCTTCCAAAAAAAAGACTGTGCTTCTTGCCTTCTAAACTATCAGCGATTTGAGGAACAACCAGTTTGTAGGCAGCATTCCGGCCAGTATTTCTAAATTGAGTCAACTCTCCAGCATGTGAGTCTCACGCGAGGTGATGCAGGTAATATGCAAGAAGGTCATTGGCACTTCAAGTAGGCTCGAGTCATTTTGCACTGGTTCTATGAACCACTCATGCCGTGTAAGAGTCATCCCCATTCAGCTTATGGGAGATGGTCCTGAATTCGTTGCCAGACTCTCAAGAAGCCTCTATGCATCTAGCTGACAAGACAACAGCAGATCACGATTATCTGGCAGGTAAAAGGGCAGAATCTTTTGCAGGTAGATTAACATAATTTCGTATAGAAAACGCCTTCAGACATGGACCTGGCTGGCTGAACTAAGGCACTGGTTCCCTCACGTGATAAGGCGATTGAGGTAGCAGTGATGTAGCTTGTGAGCTGGCAGTCTAGGGTCGCACGCTAATGTGCCTCAGCTTGACCCGGCCCCGTATCAATAAACCCATTATGTGGCGCCTAGCTTTAGCTGAGTCCCCTCCTCGAGGCAGCTTGGTTTGACGGAGTGATGAGCCAGTTCTGGCTCGAGCTGAACCAGCCTAGGCTTGGCCGCTACTCATCCCTACTACCCTGTATTGAAGGTTGATGATTTCGTTAGTGCAATACAAACCCATCACATGTGTGTGTGGTGGGTGGGAAATTATTTCCCCAGATTTGCATAGCGAGCCATTTCTCCCTCTCCACTGTGTCAACAGCCTTTGCTTCTCTTGGCATCCCCTCTGCTTGTTTCTGTACCCAGCAATGTGTTAATGTTAGCCTTCAATCTCGCATTTGTACTTGTACTTTTTATATCATAGTTTAGTGTAGTTTGCACTTTGTGTTTGGTTGAGTGTACACCCACATCCCGACCAAACCCAAATGTAATCTCCAGGCAATCTCCAACCCACCAATTGGAGATTGCCTTGGGATTACCCCCAATTCCCCAGGATTGCCCCAGATTCCCTCTCCATCCTTACCTTGCCCATTTCCAATGTACGTAAAGAGCCTTGAGCTCATTACTAATGTATGGATTCTAAGCTCAAGTTCTAACATGGTATCAGAGCCATTCAACCACACACTCGTATCATGATCCTCTTATCTCAACGGGCTCTTGTCCCGCTTTCTTCGGCGTAGCCGCCATCAATCTCGTCGCTGGTGATTCGCGACTTCCTTGGCCGGAAATTATCCCGCGCCACTCTCCCTTCCTTCTCAATGTCTATCGCAACTTCTTTGGTAAGCGCATCGTCGGCGCTTTAACTAATCGCATCTTCTCGTCAATTGTCTTCGCTTCACTTCTTCTTGTCGGGCCGCCGCCCGCCGCCCTGCAGCTTCTCGTTGGGCTGCCGCCCATCGCCCTGCAGCTTCTCGTCCAGCCGCAGCCCGTCGCCCTGCATCTTCACGTCGGGCTGCCGCCCGTCGCCCCTCAACGGCACTCCGCAGCTGAATAGGTGCAGCCGCGCAGCTGAACAGGTGCAGGCACGCAGCTGAGCAGCCGTGTTGCAGCGAAGCTGAGCAGCAATGGAGCAGCGAAGTTGAAGGTGGTGTGTGGGGGGGTGTGTAGGAATAGGGTTAGCTACTGAAGTCGGCCGATGTGACCAACCTTCATCGGCCTTATAATTCCTTCTACGAGACATTCCGAAGCGGCCGACATTGAAGCTCTTTGCCCTTTGCAGCCCTTGGATTTTCTTCTTCAGAAACCATAAACCTCATAATTCTTTTTCGTAAACCCTAATCCCCAAGTTCTTCAAATTCTCCTTCGAAAACCCTAAACGTCAAATTCATATCGGTGACTCAAGAGCAGTACTTCACGTGAGACCTGTTCTTCGCCATGGCTTTCGCCTCAGCCACTCTCGCCAACCCCATCACCCCGCTCCGTCTTGAAGCCGACGGCACTAGCTCCAACTTCAAGGCATGGAGCTACAGGGTTGACAAGCTCCTCCCGAGTCGTGAAGTGGGTGGACTTGACCTCAAAAGCGTTCTTCTCAATCATGGCAAGGGAAAACAACCCTCCATTCCCAAGGAGCTGTTCGATCCAACCGATGCTGTGACAACCCAGGAGTACAAAGACTCAGTTGCCAAGTATCGCAAATGGGAGAAAGCCGATGCGGCTATCATTAGCTACTTCATCGCCTTCACTCCTGCCGAACTTGTCAACACATTTCACAACTACCCCACTTCCAACGCCATTTGGAAGCATCTCCAGGACAGGTTCATGAATAAGACGGCGGTCGCGATGGCCATCCTCATTCCTAGTATGTTTCAAGTCCACCTTGAGGATTACCCGGGTATGGCCGACTACATCGCCAAGGTGCAAACCATCCATGGCGAACTCAAGGAGCTAGGTATCATTTTCCCCAAACAAGCTCCTGCGGCCGCCCTCCTTGTTGGCCTCACTTCGGCATACGAAGTCACAAGGAAAATGCTCCTCACGTCCTCGGCGGAAGACCTCACATTTGCTAAGATATCTTCCGCTCTCCTCTGTGCCGAGAAAAACTCCTCGGCCCAAGCCAAGGCCTACGCCCTCCGTGCTCCCGTTCCTCAAGCAGGTGTCGCATCCGCACTCGCCTCAGCGCCTTTTCAGCGCAACCGCTTCCATCCATGCACCTACATCGTCAAGTATGGCAACCGCAAGGGACAAGTGTGTGGTGGCACTAACCACCCCCTTGCCACGTGCTTCAAGAAGAAAGACGACGAATGGTATGTCATTCATGAAGTTGACAAGAAGCCGCCGAATTGGATGCGTCCTCGTAAGGCCAACGTAGTTGAGGCACAGGACCCCGCTCAGGCTAGTGCTAGTGATAGTGCTCCTGCTGATGTGCGCATCAACTTGTTGTTCCCTGGCACTGCCATGATTAATGAAACAACTTCGCAGTACATCGGCTCATCACAGGCACCACAATACATAGAATTCACACTCGACAGTGGAGCCACTCACACAGTGCTCAAGGAGACACTCTCCTTCAAACCCTACGCAACACCCATTCTTCTCCTGGGAGCTGATTCAAGGTTCACCACTCTTGCCAAGGGTTCGTCCACAGTCCCATGTCCCGCCTTCCCATCCAGCACTGTCATTGGCATGTTTGTCACTACGCCACAATTCAGTGGCTCAAATAGAAATTCAGGAGGCGGGGTCACGCATCATCTTCTCGGAGAATGAGGACTATTGTGACATCATCGACCCACTCACCAAAAAGGTCTTGGCTCGGTTCACCCTCAATAGCAGCGGCCTTTACATGCTGCGAGTACCTATCCCATAGGTGTCAACCACCCAAGCACAGGCTACTATCACACCATGCTCATGTCGCAGCTTTTCCAACCCGACCATCCTCTACCATCATCGGCTCTGGCACCCAAACTTCCACACGCTTGCTGACATGGCCTCCAAGAAACTTCTTCTCGGCCTGCCAGCCTCACTTCCTCCACCGCCTGATTTGCCCACTCCCACGTGCCTTGACTGTACCAAGAGCAAGCTACACCAACAGCCCCACCCTGCCTCACCCTCAGTAGCAGTAGCCCCACTGGACCCAGTGCACATGGACGTCTGGGGCCCTGCCCCGGTTGCGGCACGGGGTGGCCGTCGCTATTTCCTTCTGATAGTTGATGGCCACACTTGATACGTCTCTATGCACCTCCTCCACACTAAGGCTTAGGCCCCGGAGGCAATCATGGCATGGGTTAAGTAGGCACATACCTCCTTTGGCACCAAGGTCAAGCGTCTCTATTCGAAAGGTGGTGGTGAATTTTGCAATGACAAGCTCAAAGCCTTCTGCTCCTCCCTTGGCATCCAGCAAACTTTACCCTTCCTGATAGCCCGCAGCAGAATGGCAAAGCAGAGAGCCGCAATCACACACTGACGCAGATCACTCGCTGCCTCCTCAGCCACTCCAACGCACCACCCCACTCTGGGGGTACGCCCTCTATCATGCCGCCCTCCTCTACAACCTCTATCCTCACCCGCATCTTCTCGACACCACTCCCACCACACTATGGCTCGAAAAAACCCCCACTGCTCACACTCTTTGCGTCTGGGGGTGCACCGCCTATGTACTCTTCAACCCCCAGGCTCGACGGCGGCAAGGTGACAAGCTTGGTCCCGAAACTCAAACGTGCATATACCTTGGGCACAATGCTGACTCCCCTGACTATCTTTTCCTCAACCCCTCCACTCAACAACTCGTCCGGAGCCAAGATGTCGTCTTTGATGAGACTCCCCTTTCTACTCCACCTCGGGGGGGGGATTCCCCTTCCGGACCACCCTCTCTTGTGTGGGCTGACTTTCATGTACCTTCTGAACCTCCGCCCTCACCTCCTGCTTCTCTTGCCATTGCACCATCCTTGTCTGAGGTCTCTCACCCAACCTCTCCGGTGTCCTCGGCAGCTGCTCCTTCATCTCCCCCTTCTGTCACTCTGCCAACTGCGCCCCCACCACCAAGCGCACCAATCACATACCATCGGCGATCGAACCCTCCCGCCCCATCTCCTCCCCCGGTTCCCTCTTCCACTCAAGCACCTGCTCTCCCAGAGCCGAGCAAACTAATCACGTACCAACGACGACTGATCCCTCCCCCCAAGCCCCCAAAGTCGTCCCTTCCAAGCATGCCTGCTCCACCCTCTTCTCCGGTGGCTCATGGTCTCGGTCGCATGGGGCTGTTCCTCCATTGGCACTTGCCTTTTGATGCTTAGTGATCACTCCGACTTCTCCTGCTGGGGGGGATGTGCCCACTACCCTTCTGGGAGATAGGCATGAGGAGCTGTGTGATCTCCACGATGTTGTTCCTCAAATTTCGAACATCTTCCCAAATATCACTGAATCCCCCTCGCTCAACTTCTTGGAGAACCCGACCATTCCTATCCCTCTCACCGTCCAAGAGGCTCTTTCGGGTCCCCATGTTACCGAGTGGTGCGCTTCCATGGACGCTGAGTATGAAGCTTTCACCCGCAACCACTCCTTTGACGACGAAACTCCACCTTCAGGAGTTAACATCGTTGGGGGCAAGTGGCTGTTTCAAGTGAAGCAGCTTCCGGACAAGGCACCAGTGTTCAAAGCACGCTATGTGGCCAAAGGATTCACTCAGCAGCAGTACTTTGACTTCTTCAAAACCTTCTCTCCCACATCCAAACCACCCACAGTTCGAACGCTCCTCAATGTAGCCGCACGAGACGACTTTGAGATCAAATCCATGGACGCATCTTCAGCATTCCTGCAATGACACCTCAAGGAGACTATGCTTATGGACCAGCCTGAAGGCTTTCCAACCCTCCCAACACAGTCTGGAAGCTGAATCGCCCTGTTTATGGCCTCAAACAAGCCCCTCGTGAAGGGCACAACAAAGTGAAAGAAATCCTTCTCTCCTTGGACTTTCACCCATCATCTGCTGACCCGACTCTCTTCATTCGCCGTCACTCTGAGCCATTCTACATCCTTGTCTACGTCGATGACTTCATCCTCGCTGCCAAAGACTCGGCCCAGATGACCTCTTTCCTGGCGGCCCTGAGCAAAGCCCTTCTGATGAAAGACCTTGGTGACCTCAAGCACTTCCTGGGGATGGAGATTACTTGTGATCGTCAAGCTCGTACCATCTCACTCTCCCAGGAGTTCTACATCAACAGTGTACTCAAGCGCTTTGAGATGGAGCTGTGCATACCCATGGCCACCTTACTACCACTACAACACCTCCTCACCGCTCTTGCTGTCCCGACACCAGAAGCCTGCACTGAGCCATACCCAGAGCTCGTTGGGTCCCTCATGTACGCCATGATGTGCACCCGGCCTGACTTGGCATACCCTGTCAGTGTCCTCTCTTGCTATGTGGCTCCTGGACACTTCACTGACCTTCACTGGAAAGCGGCAAAGCGGGTGCTGCGCTATCTGCAGAGAACCAAGTCTCATGTCCTCACCCTTGGTGGGGTTTCTCCTCCTCGACTGGAAGGGTATACAGACTCCTCCTGGGCTGATGACCAGATCGATCGACGCTCCTCCCAAGACTACTGCTTCACCCTAGGGAGTGGAATTGTCAGTTGGCGCTCCACCCGGTCGTCTGCAGTCTCCCTCTCCTCCTGTGAGGCAGAGCTCTATGCTGGCACCATGGCGGCTCAGGAGGCCCGCTGGCTCACCTTCCTACTCCAGGAGCTTGGCTACCCTCAGCCCAATCCCACCCTCTGGTGTGACAACAAGAGCACCATCCACATCTCCCAGGATCCCGTGTACCACACTCGCACCAAGCACATCCAAACTTCGGCACTTCTTCATCCGTGACCTTGTCCAGCAGGAGCAGCTCAATGTGGAGTATGTGGCTTCTGACTGCAACTTGGCTGATCTGTTCACCAAGCCCCTTGGTAGGTTCCTCACCATCGCCTTCTAGGCACCATGGGGCTTTGCGCTCCACCTTCTCTACCATGAGTTCGATTGCCGCCTATGGGGGGGTGTTAATGTTAGCCTTCTATCTCACATTTGTACTTGTACTTTTTATATCCTAGTTTAGTGTAGTTTGCACTTTGTGTTTGGTTGGGTGTACACCCACATCCCAACCAAACCCAAATGTAATCTCCAAGCAATCTCCAACCCACCAATTAGAGATTGCCTTGGGATTACCCCCAATTCCCTCTCCACCCTTACCTTGCCTATTTCCAATGT